CACTGTAGAGAGTAGAGCTCTGAGAGAGATTCGAAGTTTTGTTTGTTGAAGTTGATTGCGTCGAATTGTCAGTCGTGCCCCAGCAATTCGTCTTCTCTGCACGCCTCCATGTTGCAGGGTCTACAGCCGAATACCCAGCAGCAGAACCCCCAGCAGCAGCAGCAGCAGCAGCAGCAGCAACAACAACAACAGCAGCAGCAGCAGCAGCAGCAGCAACAGCAGCAAAACCAAATCCCTCCGCCGCCTTTTCAGAGTGGCCAGGACTGGAATCTCTCCAGTGTTCTCCACTACCTCCAGACCGAATGGCGTAAATATGAACGCGACAGAAATGAGTGGGAAATCGAGCGTGCCGAAATGCGGGTGGGTCATAATGCCGCAGACGTCCGTCGCGTCTCTCAGTTCTGTCTCATAGGCTCGCATTGCGCTTCTCGAGGGAGAACGCCGCTCTTTCGAGAATGTAAAACTCGACCTTATGCGGCGCATAAAAATGCTGGAATATGCTCTTCGCATGGAACGGTACGTCTTCCACGCGCCTTCCGTTTTTTGTGAAATTTATTGACGTGTCTCGTGTTCTAGCTCAAAACAACTCACCCAACCAGCGTCTGCCTCCCAACCGCTTCCTCCCGCAAAACTTGCCGCAATCCAAGCGCTCACTTCTTCATCGTCCCCAAAAGATGACGCCCAAAGTCACAAGGAAGAAAGCAGCGGCAGCTCTCCGCGGAGTGAAGGTAATACATATATCTTCTACATTCTAGTCCACTTTCTTATACAAACCTTACAGATTCTCCACTACCGGACACGCGTGTAAATGGCGTAACATCGGTCGCAGGAAGACCAATCTCATGGGGAGGCCCCAACTGGGCGAACGGCCCGTCCACAGGAACTGCAGCGGGATTAGGAAAGCCCCCGCCGGGTCGTGATCCAAAAAGCAGAACACGGAGTCGTGACTACCTCAAACAGTACGCACCACTTCTACGTGTTGATCACGAGCTCACCAAAATTTTCAAGATGCCTCCAGGAAATATCCTATCTCACGTCACCTCAGGCAATGAATCCATTGCCGAATCGACCCTTACTTAACAACGCCAACATTCCACTCACTCTTCCAAACGCACCGTCGTTTGAGCAAATGGCCTTCAATGGCAGACCACGAAAACATTTGCCCGAGACTGGCAAAGAATTTCCCATGCTGAACGGTAGCATGAACTTAATGTCGGGTCCCTCCTCCGCACCCGCCGCTACTGGATCTCAGGTCCCTAATCTTGAACGGAATAACCCCCTCGGCTCTGGAATGCTACAACTCCAACACCTGCCGCCACAACCCCAACAATCCTCCTCTCCAAACCAGTCACTAATGCAACAAAACGTGGTCCCCTCACAGGCAACAACTTCAAATGCTGGAGGGGACAAGGACGGTGATTCGGAGCCCCGTCAAGTAACCGCCATCTTCCGTCCTGATGACGCAGGTGAATGGAAGGAGAAGCTACGACTGTCTCATGAAGAACAAGCCCGTTTCGCACGCGAAAATCAGCAGGGTTGGGACAGACGGCCTGAAGAGGACGACGGAAAGGACGAAGACGGTGAAGTGGATGACGATGAATCGGCTGGTGTGAGCGACGGCGAGGGCAACAAGGTCTGGCGGCCAAAACGGACGCTGAGGAAGTGCGTGAACCAACATTGTTCTGTCGCTGTGATACTTACATATCGCCAGTCACTTGGATGCTGTTCGAGCCCTCGCCTTTCACCCGCACGAATTATGTCTTGCAACAGCTGGAGACGACTGCACAGTGAAAATATGGCGAATGGATGTTACCGGCCTCGCATCTTCTGCGTACGTTCCATTTATCAGAATGTCACTCAGGGACTCTGACACTCATGTAGTTCGCGACCAACCACTGAAATTGAGCCCCAACTAACACTCCGTGGTCATTCAGCAGCCATTACGCGGCTGATACATGCACCTTCGAAGGGACTTCTGTATTCAGCATCTCTCGACTCGTCGATCAGGGTATGGGCGCTTCCCGCTCCCTCCCATACGACATATGCGCCCTATGATGAGACCCGTGCGCGCGGCGAGCTCATCGGACACACAGACGCCGTCTGGGACCTCGCGCTCGTTCGGGACGAGAGCACGCTCATCAGCTGTGGCTCGGAAGGCGCAGTGAAGGTGTGGGATGTCAGTGGGCCGTCTGGCGGCGGATCTTTAAAGCTCACCTGGGGGTGGTCGGGGCTGGAGAATTCCGAAGAGCTCCAAGAGGACATGGACGTGCCTGGAGCCACGGCGGTTGAAGCACTAAAGGCCGATCTGAAAAAGGTGGCAGTCGCATACCAGAATGCGGTTGTGAAGATATTCGATATCGAGAGTGGGAAGGAGTTGTTGCGACTGGCTACTGACACGAGCTATGGTGCGTTGTCTGTCCATGCTGATTCCCCTTCAGAAACATCTGACGTATATGATTTAAGACGGCACGCCAGCCACTCAGATAAACCGGATAGTATCACATCCTACCATGTCCCTCCTTGTCACTGCACACGAGGACAAGTATATTCGGCTATTCGACATTGTGACAGGTTTGTTCTGCCCTGGACTATAAAGACGATTGTCCCTTAATAATCTATGCAGGGCAATGTACATATTCGATGCTGGCTCACCTGGACGGTGTCACGTCGCTGTCCATCGACCCTGCTGGCTTCTCGCTCGTATCTGGTAGCCACGACTGCTCTGTGCGGTTCTGGGACCTGCTGGGCGCGCGTGCCTGTGTGCAGGAGATCACGACTCACCGAGAAAAGGCGCGCGAGGGCGTGTTGGATGTTGAATTCCACCCATCCCTGCCGTTCATGGCGAGCGCTGGGGCTGACGGTGTTGTCAAACTCTACGCATCGTCGTAGCTTCTGTTTTACGTTCGCTTTTCTGCGGTGGATAATGACAACATAGCTTAATTAGAATGTTCATACGGGAATTTCCTTTCTCCACTTCTTGTACATACTTATGTTTTTCACGACTGTTATTGAACGCAATTACTTATGAATAAGCACACTACAGCAACAGACTGTGCGTACTAAACCAACGATAGAAAAAGCAGTAAGGCTACAGCAGGGGGCTAGTTATACAGTGGGTCGTCGACTCTGGTCTGGTAATTGCAAGAAAATATATATGCCGTGAAAAGTTCATATCTCTGGCAATGTGTTGAGCCAGCTGCTTCAAAAGCACAAAACAAAAACAACTCACGAATACGCATCCCTTGTCGAGCCGCCAAAACTTCTACTCCCAGCTCTTTCCTTTCCAGTAGCGCTTTTATCTGCTCGATTATAAGGGTTTGATTCGGCCGACCGGGGGCTCCGTTGAGGGTGTCTTTGCAGTGAATCACATACACTCGCACCCCAACCAGCGCGCCGCGCACATCCGAGGGCACAGACGCGATGATGTTCGTCCGCTGCTTCTTGCGAACTGGGCGGGCGGACAGACTGGAGCCGGGCGTGGCAGTTCGGAACTTGGAGACCTCTGTAGCCAAGACCTCGAGCTCGCTGACTAGGTGTTCGGGGTTTAGGTGGCCGTACAGCGTGTCGTCGCTTCTGGAGGACGGCCACGAGCATTCGATGAAAATGGTAGAGAGCGACGCGGGGATTTTTGGGGCGGCGGCGCGCCAGACGTTGATTGTCCGCGGGGAAAGGGAGAGCGAGTCTGGTTCAAGATCGCCAAAGAATAGAAATTCGTGTCCCGTGGGGTCGTGGCGGATGAAGAAAGCCGAAGAGTCATAGCACCCTCCGTCATTGTGACCATGGCTGACGGGCAAACCGCGCACAGACACTTCCGTTATTAACGGTTGGTATGTGTCATTCATGCTGAGGCTTTCAAAAATATAAGCGGAGAGCAGAGAGCTCGAGACCGTCAGGACTTACGCGGTGTACAGAAGTTTGTGGTCGTCGTCGTCCTCGTTCCAGGACGCCAAGTTGGGCCATATCCGGTCGGCAAACACGCTCTCTAGGTCCGCGAGGGTTCGTTTCGCGGCGCAAACGCGTTTCCGCGGTCCACTTAAAGAGCCAGCTGATATAACCAAGCTATTTACGTGGTCCAAGTGGGCGTGAGTGACGAGAAAACAACTGGGTACTATGTGAGTCTTGTACAGTCAGAATTGAAACAGTGTGACTGACCGGACAAAAGAGTAGATCTCCGAGGCCGAGTACGGCTTCGTGCGCGCTGAGGGACCGTCCGGGGAATTGAAAAGCTGGGGGTTCCGTTGGAGAAGTTTATGCAGGGTTCCTTGGCCCGACCCTGATTCCGATTGGAAGGTATTATTGAAAGAGTGAAGGGTGGCCGTACCTGCTTCCAAGGCCACTGTGCCGTCCTCCCAGGAAAGACCAGAGGGCTTGAACAGATAGCTGCACCAAAAGAAATCGATGTGAGCTGCCACGTGGGGCGAGTTGAATCTTGGGAAAGCGCATCGAGAAACGCGACATACGCGGACAGGTTCGTCTCGTCTGGACCACCACCTTCTCCTACCACCACCAAGTCGAACATGGAGGAACGATGTCGTCTATTGGGGATACGGATACGTTGAATGGAACGATGGCTTTGGCGAGATGCCGCCTTGCTTGCCCAGGCGATCGTTTGTGATGGCTGCTTGCCAGACGTCTGTGATCTGCGCGCCTGGACTGTTATAAGCTCGCCGAGCGATGACAAGGTTGAGGCAGTGAGGCTCAATCAGGCTGGTGGCTGTTGAGTTGAAACAACGAGAACCATGATGGACAATCGCACTCGCGGGCATTGCACTGAAAGCTGGAACACAGGATGCCCAAAATACAAAGCGCCTCATGTCAGTCAGAGTCATCGGAGTCATTTCTTGTATTTCTCAGTCCCTTCTTTATAAAATTTAGTAGACAGTGTATTTCTTGTCAATAGGGAACGTCAGGGAAAAAGATAAATCAAAGAAAAAGAGAAGAAACAGTAAAGAGGAAAAAAGAAAAAAAAGAAGAAAGGAAAAAAAAGGGGGGAAAAAATCAGACACTGCCGTGGTTCGAACACGGGACCTCGCGATGAAGTGATTACGTAAGCCCACGTCTTTGCTTACGTAATTTTTGCAATCGCACGCTCTACCACTAGGCCACAGTGTCCTATGACTTGGTCCAATGTAGAGACAACTCAACCCACCTCTCTGTTCCACTGTGCTGCCCAAGGGTACAGGGCACCGATTTGATGTGCTGCAACGTCAGTTAGCAACCCAAATGAACATGGGCACCATCGGTATTCACCGCATTGAGACATCGCTTTCGGTCTCCTCTTCCTCTTCCTCCTCCATCCCAAGTACCACACTGGCAGGCTCGCCGCGCACTCTCGCCATCAGGAGCGCGTAGCAGGCGGCGCAGTGCGATTCAAATTCTGCATGAATTGTTTGTGTAACATAGCATATACTGACAAGACACGACCACAGCACTGTCGTGCACCTACTAGATAATGTAGCATTATGTAACATATATTTACTTACTTGATAGACACTGCGTAGTGTCATAACTAGTCACATGTCATTATCTTACATAATCTTACACACTTTCTCTTGACAACCATGTTGCATCGAGAGGCGAGTGTCTTTCCGTGAACCACGTATCGGTTGGACCCCCTACTTGCCTAAGTACGCGTACAACTACTTCCCTCCGATCCGGGGTTCAGGATTACAACCACTCAAGACCTCTTTACGACCCTTTCCAACGAGACTATGGCGCCGCCTACGCAGCAGCCTAGGTCTCGTTCTCAAGCTCACCTTTTATCTTCTACTCCACTCTGCAAGGTTCCGTCTACCGAAGCCCAAAAGAACCCGTATCCGTCACAATGGAGCCCACCGCGAGGGGTTTCACCCCAGACGGAACCTCCCAAACAGGATTGGAGGAGACGATATGAGCTGGCTCGCAAAGGCTGCACACCGGCGACGCCGGCAGCGCCTAGCCCAGCTCAGGAGAGCCCCCAGAACTCTCCAACATCTCGAGCGACCGTCCCGTCTGAACGGCCGCTCCTTCGCGACACTTCCTGGTACAAGACCCGGATGGAATTGTCGTGCAAATTCGAGGCTCAAGCCTCATCCCGACCAGCAAGGACCACCTGGCCCTCGGGAGTCCCTCTCAGGCCTCGCAGCTCCGTCGCAGTCGCACAAGAAGCGGCGACGTCAGTACGGCGGGGCGACTCCATGACGTGGGGGGCAGAACCTTCCCTTCCTCACGACGCCCATCTTCCGGTTACAAGATCCCCGAGCGAGTCCCCCTCGAGCCGTCCTGCTCCTCAATCATACGTACCTCCGCACTTGAGGGCACGGCAGGACGATTCAGCGAGAGCGAGACACGAGACCTTGCTCAGTGGCAGCAAACCGACGACGTCGGCAGCGCCTAGCGAGGTCCCTGCGGGCCGTTCCTCTCCCCACTTTCTTACCCCGACTTGCCGGTGCCTACGACCACTGGTGCAGCGAGACCAACCCTTGAGAGCTACATCGGGCACTTACTTCCATGGCAGCATGCCGACGACGTTGGTAGCGCCTAACGAGGTTCTCGAGATTTGTCATCGGTCTCAGTACCCTGCAGCACCCGCTGAGCCAGAGGGGGCGGCCAACAGACAGGAAAGTTCTTCTCCTGGGGCCCTCAATGAATCGGTTGCAGGGAAATGGGAAGGCTCCCGGGTACGTCCTGGCCCACGCTCTTTACAAGACTCAACTCTTCCTTTGCCGGTCCCTCCTTGGCCTCCTCCTCTTTCCAACTCGGTGTCACTCTGGCCAATTCCTCCTTGGCCACCCCCGCGCATCTACCTGGGCCGGCACTTACAACGACGCTGTACTGGTGACGTGGCGAGGTCACGTCCTACGTCGGCGACGGGGCCACGTTCCTCAGCGTCGCCGCTCGCATGCTTGGACCTGAGCCCACCGGGTGTTAAACGCTCAGCATGCAACCAAGCACCTTATTACTCTTTAGGGCGGCATCTAACTGCTTACGAGCCCTGGCGCGCACACAAGTCGGCGGCAGCACGAGCTTGGTTGGCGACCCCGGCACTCAGCAAGTTTGTGCGGCCGGCTACCTATGCACGCATCCGTCTGTGGCGCCGTCCCTCGAGCGGCCGCCTGACAGTTACACAAGGTTGCGTCCGGGGTTGCATGCACGCCGCACCCGTTCGACTAGGCGTGCTCTTGCGCTCCATCCCCATCCTGTGTGCACATCTGCCCTGCTTTTCTGTTCATTCGCCGTGTTGGAGCCCGGCGTGCGCACTCGTTCGCCACCCATCCATTTATTGCCTGTGTACGCGCAACCACCTCATCCGGCGACAGTCAAGCCAATACGCCCGCGCTATGGGTGTGCGGAAATCCCGACGATCGATCGCCCACACCGGCATCCGCATGTCAGCGTACCGTGGTGCTGCGACATTTGAGCGACCCTGTGTGCTCGTGGATCGCGCAGTGGTAGAGCGCCTCCTTGGGCTGCACTCCACTCCGCGTCCCCGAGTCAGCAACCAGCGCTGCCGCTCGCGGGCATCTGCACGACATGGTGAGGCCCGGAGAGCAAGCGCAGAGCAATGGAGTGAGGTGCGCCTTTTGGGGCTGCGCTTCGTTCCGACGGTCAGACTCCCAGTGCTTTCGCTGACTCTCCCTTGCTTGAGCCGAATTGCTCGCGATACGGGCGTGCAAAACCCAGGACTTGCGCCCATGCCACGGGATCATGGAACGGTAGAGCGCCTTCCGTGGCTGCACTCCGTTCTGCGGCTCAGCAGACGACACTACTGTGCTCGTGAATCCCTGCACCGCAGGAGTGCTCAGAGAGCAAGAGGGAGGTCACGGGGTGAGGAGCGCTCGGAAGAGCTGCACCTTGGTATGTTACTCATATGGCCAAGTCCAAGTCCCATCCTCGCGCCGCTTGCTGAGATCCTCAAGCTGACAACGAGATTGTGCCACCATGTCTGCGCACCTTCCTGCTTGCCGGACTTCCTGGTAGTACTTTCTCGTCCTCGAGTAGTACTAGAAGCGTCTCGGATTGGGGAGCGCCTTGCAGGGCTGCACCTCATTCTTTTGAGTACGGAGTGTCGCTATATCAAAAAGATCTTATTATCTGGTGATTGTGAGTACATCCCGTATGAAAGCGAGTGTGTACGATGGTTGAAATGGTACTCGGGTGGTCGGGAGACCGCGCTGCAACTAAAGCAGGCGCGGATTGATTCGTCGCGAATCGTGCACAATGCGGGGCGACACGCACGGCCTCGTACCGGTCAATATCGGTCAGCATGCACATACTCCGTAGACCACTTAGCCTCTAGCGGCGCTCGTTTGTACCGCAGGGCGCATCAAAGTTCTTCGGTAATGAGGGAAGAGCTGCAGAACGGGGAGCGCCGCCTTGCGCTGCTGCACTTCATTCCGCTGTTGGTAGTTTCTCCAGAATGTCGGTGGGCACCAACCGAATCTAGGGGGCTTTACCATCACCAGTATTATCGGCTGGCCTGGCTCAAGTATTGCTGGTGCGGATCCCAAATCTTCAAGTGGCATGGATCCACCAATCCCTGGCTTGTCGCTAACTCGTACCACATGGCGAACCCTCAAATGCATGATAACAGCTCCGAGTGGAACTGCGAGTACCCTCGCAAGAACCAGCGAGTGCAGACGCAGCCCGGAGAGATACGGGAAGCGCGGAGCAGCTGTCTGTCTGACGTACTTCGCGAACACGCGCCGCACGGCAGACATACAGCTGCGGCTGTCAAGGTCGAGCCGAAGGGAAGGATGGCTGCGTGCTGGTCTTCCCGGCGTCGAATGCTTCGAAAAGCCAACTCAGGACCTCCGTATTGCGGCTGTAGGGAGTCAATGGCGGAGGAAAGGAGAGTGAGAGAAGAGGATGAAACATATTGCCTTATCTGCATGTCCCCGACGTCCTTCTCCTCTTGGCCCCCGCATCAACACCCGGGTAGAGCGCGACCTCTGCTTACCGTTGCTTGCTCAAGTGGGTATTTGCCATGGGGCGTGGTGGTGTCGAGTTGGTGCCGAGTACGTCGTCAAAATCGATTCCTAAGGGCAAGAGAAATTAGAGAATATGTTGCACGTGACTATTATGTCAACTGTCACTTCACTCTTCTGCCTCAACGTCGACGCAAGTGCCGCTTGCGGTGTTGGCAACCAGCTCGCACATGCGGCCGCCCACAGCCCGCATGCACGTTCAGCTACGGCGCTGTCCAGCGGCTGCCAAATGGATGCACGCGACCGTCTTCAGAGTCGTGTACACGCTCTAGAGCGGTGTCCAGCACTCAACCATCCGCTTGGAAACGCCAAACCCGCAGTGGCCAGCACTACTCTCACTGTCCGGCAAGATCTGGCATGCCCGCATGCTCGCTCTGGCACCCCGACGCGTCCTTGTGTGCGCACGAGTCCGCTTTAGCACGAGTTTGGCTGGCACTCAGCAAGTTCGCGCGGCCGCCTACTCTCGATGTCAAGACGCGTCCGACCACGGACGAGCCCCAATGCACATACGAGCACGCGCCAGCGCACATGCGGATAGCAGCACTAGCACCCAGCAAGGGCGTGCAGCCTCCCTCTGCCCAGGCGTGTGATCGTCTGTGGCGCCGTCCTTTGAGCGGTGGCCCAACGAATACACGCGGCGGTTCCCGGGACTGCGCACATGCCCGTGCATCACGGGTAGCATTCACCACGTACGCAAGCATGCCACGCTCAAGGGCACACCGGTTCGTCAAGCGCACCCAGCCTTTCCCGGTCCGCGTGCGCATCCGTCTGTGGCGCCGTCCCTTGAGCGGCTGCCGGACAGATACGCGCGGATCCTCCCAGTGCTGCACGCACGTTGCACGCATTCGCCAGTGTGCCAGTGCGCCCTTGCGCGCCGTCTCCAGCCTGCACGCATGCCGACCAACAGCGCCGTCCCGTCACCATCTGACACCGTATATGTGTGGCGACGCTACTGCTGCGGTATCTGTCACTGTCTATGAGCAGCGACACCACTGCAGCTGCAGCTGGCATAGCGCACAAACGGCGACGCTGTCGAGTCTCGGTCGACCAGCGACTAGTTCCGGCGTGCTCATGCGTACCTGTTTACTGCATCCCATTCCCGGGCCTTCTATGTCCTTGGAGTGGCACCCACGGCGAGTACGTCGG